AGTCAGTGATAGAGTTGCATTGCTCTTAGCCAATCAGAGGAAAGATGTCTGAACATCATGAATAATAATTATCAAGAGTCCAAATCCTGCCGTTTTCTGACCCAGGGCATAGGGCACTGGATCACACACAGCTGAATTGCTAAAGGAGCATGAAAGTGAACATGGCGACCTTGGCTTCCACACAGCTGTAAGATGGCTCAGCCTTGACAAGGTTCATAAACTATGGGACCTCAGAGCAGAGATTCAGGAGTTTTGTAAGAAGGACGAGGACTTGGCAGAGCTCTCAGATATACACCTGATGGCAGATCTGGTTTTACACTGACCTAAATACCAGACTTCAAGGAAATTAATTTTCTAATCCTAAAAATAAGTAGCTTGACGGTAGCTTTCTTGAGAAAATGAAAGTTGCTTAGATGTTTGTTTGCCCTCCTGCAAAGGACATTCTCACACATGCACGCCAAAAGTCAAACCATACCCTGATCGCCACCACAGGTCCTCGTCCCTGTTAGCGGGCCTCCATTGTGAGTTGTCAAGAAAGTTTGAAGACTTTAAAGGATTGGAGATTACTTCTCCGTTTACATTTAGTGTGCGTAATGCACCTAGCGAAGTCGAACTCGTTGATCTGCGAAGCATTTCTACAGCAGTGTCATTGCTCGGGTTTTATTCTTCTGTCAAATAGGAAGTATTTCTACACATAAAGAGGCGTGCTCGGGTTGTTTGTTCTCTTTGGATCCTCCACGTGATGATCACTTGCATGCTGTCCTTTGCACATCCACCTCTTTATCATCCACCCCTAAATTAGAGGCTTATGGTGGAGCTTGGAGTTATGCGGTTTCCTAGAAAGGGTGCCTTTGATTGACAGTTAATGTGCCAGGTCCGGTTTTAATCCCCTCAGCTGACAGGTTCAAGAATTTAAAACCACATAGCAGGAACGTTAAAACCTTATCGAGTTCAGCTCGTTTGGGGTGTGTTTTTATTTAGGTCATCTATCCTGTTTATTTCATTTAAATCAGGGGTGTCCAATCCTGGTCCTGGAGGGCCGGTATCCTGCATGTTTTAGTTTGAACTCTGTTTCAACACACCTGATTTCAATCAGCAGCTAATTAATAGGCTTCTGCAGAGCCTGATGAGCTGCTGCACAGGTGTTTCAACCACTGAATCAAGCCTGTTGGAGCAGAAAAACCACAAAACCTGCTGGATACCGGCCCTCCAGGACCAGGATTGGACACCCCTGATTTAAATGAAGTCTGACGACTTAGAGTACATTTCTCTGTCCTCCCTCCATTGTTTGTTTGTTTTGCTGGTTGCTCACCAAGTGTTCCACTTTTTGATTACCTCGCATTAAAAACATGACTCGTCACGCACGTGGCACCACTCACAGAGACACGGGAAGAAAATAAAAATATCGTTTTACTACGAAAACGTTCCCGGAATCACTGACCTGTACAAACACAACTATGGCTGTGCAACTCAAATTAATTTGCTACTCCGAGCCCCTCCTGCTGCTCCTCCACATCGAGAGGAGCCAGTTGAGGTGGCTGGAGCGTGTGATCAGGAGGCCTCCTGGACGCCTCCCTGGTGAGGTTTTCCAGGCACGTCCAAGACCTGAAGGAAGACCCAGGACACACTGGAGGGGCTATGTCTCACGGCTGGCCAGGGAACGCCTTAGGATTCCCTCAGAGGAGCTGGCCCAAATAGCTGGGGAGAGGGAAGTCTGGGCCTCACTGCTTAGGCTGCTGCCCTCGCGACCCGACCCCAGATAAGCGTAAGAAAATGGACAAAATTTTCAGTGGACCTTACTCAGTGTTGCCACAGTTACCTTGAAATAGTAATCTGATTACTGACTACTGATTACTCCTTCCAAAGGTGACTTAGTTACTTTACTGATTCATTCATTTAAAAAGTAACTAAGTTAGATTACGAGTTACTTTATTAGTTACTTTCAGCATCTACCAAAAACACTTTCCACTGCCTCAACATAAAAACTACAACTGGTTTTCCCGACACTCACTTTAGTGCAAATGCTTTTTAACAGCAATGTTGGCAACGTATCTTCTTACATTTTAAGTTGAATTTAAAACCTACTGCCTGGCATAATGCATGTTTGTATAAAAATAAGATAAAAACAGTCTTTCTTGACCTCACTTAAAATAGATAGTATTCATAAAAAATAAAACACAGAGCCAGCACAGAGTGTACAACGGACCTTAATATTTTCATCTTTAGCTGATACAAACTCAAAATAGTGACGATATATTTCCAGCTAGAAAAAGCACTTCTCCCTCCTCCCGCCATTGTTGCTCATGCTGTAGCACGTCGCTAGCTGGCGCTGCTTGGTAGCTGAGGACGAAAACATCACATGACCTGTCGCACACGTGACGTCTCTCCCCGAGACGGAAGAAGAAACCACTGTAGTGCGGAACTTTTGGAATGGGCAGCGGGCAAGGTGCATCATGGGTAGCCAGCTTTCCAGTTTTATGTTCTTTATTGTGCGTTTTGT